GGACTCGATCCCAGGACCCTGGGATCATGACCTGAGCCAAAGGCAGACGCTTAAACGACTGAGCCACCCAGGCACCCTGCCTGGTGACTTTTTTATTGGCAGTAAGAAATGTCAGTAACCACCTCTCTGTGTGCAGGATACTACTGTTAAAATAGAATTAAAAAACACCATCTTCTTTTTTTTTTTTTTAAAGATTTTATTTATTTATTAGAGAGCACGAGAGGGAAGAGGGTCAGAGGGAGAAGCAGACTCCCTGCTGAGCAGGGAGCCCGATGTGGGACGCGATCCCGGGACTCCAGGATCTTGACCTGAGCCGAAGGCAGTCGCTTAACCAACTGAGCCACCCAGGCGCCCACCAGCAATTCTTCCAGTCCATGCTCACGGTTTATCTTTCCATTTGTTTGTGTAGTCTTCAAATTCTTCCATCAGTATCTTAGAGTTTTCAGAATACAGATCTTTTACCACCTTAGTTGAATTTATTCCGAGGTATTTTATTCTTTTTGATGCATTTATAAATAGGATGACTTTCTTAAAATTTTTTTCTGATAGTTCATTATTAGTGAAGAGAAACACAACAGATTTCTGTATGTTAACTCTGTGTCCTGCAACTTTACTGAATTTATGTTCCATGAAAAGAATGGGCATTCTGCTGGTTTGGGATGGAGCATTCTGTAGTCTGTCTCACCAGAACTGGTCCAGTGCAGTAATATGATCTAAGCTTTTCTGTTCAGCATTCCATTGATCATGTATTCCCAATTTGTACTTATATAAAATATTCACAGATTACACATATATGCTATTAATATCATTATACTCCCTAAAATGTATAAAAAAATAGAAAATTGGATTTTACATTTAACTTTTTTAATCCTCATTTTTGTAATTTACCTATTTAAAATTGTAGTTATGCTGCCATCATCTCAGTCAGTTTTAGAACATTTTCATCACCTCAAAAAACAACTCTCTTCCCCTTAACCATCACCCATTAATACCCTGCACCCATTAATATCCATTAATACCCTTCTCCCCCAGCCCTAGACAATGACTAATCTATTTTCTGTTTGTGTGGATTGTTCAGTTCTGGATATTTTATGCAAACACAGTCATATAATATGTGGACACACATTTGTAACTGGCTTTTTTCACTTAGCGTCATGTTCATCAGGGTTCATCCCTGTTGCAGTATGTATTAACAGTATCTTAGTTTTAATATAAAAATATTTAATTTTAACCACGAGGAACACTTGGTTCTCCAGGAAACAATGTTCCTTCTTTTTCTATGTATGTCCACTTTCCTTCGTACCTATCCCAAGCATACCTTTCACATACCCTCTAGAATACACACATCTCAGTCTTATATTCACAGATACATTCCCAGAATTGGGTGATAATACTGCCTCTTAAAAAGTCTCCACATGCCTTTAAAAAAGGTTTCAGGAAAAAGTGCTCTCTTAATTTAAAGTAAGCCAGCCCCAGGATCTCAGATACTGCCTATGTTACTGTCAACATGGACGGGTGAGGGAGAGGCAAGGAGAGGCCCTATGGAGATAAAGACTGGCCTGGCTGTTTGTTTCTATGCCATGTAGTCATTTAGCTTTCTTCAGAGGCTTCCCAGAACAGTCCCCTTAGCTGATACCAGAAAGGATGGATTCTCTCGTAGAAAAGTGACACCGGTTATAGTCATTTAAGCAAATCTTTTGCTAGTTATGTCAATTAACATGCAAAAATAAGATTACCTATGATATTAGATAATATTAGATATGGTTCACTTGAGTTCCATACTTTTTATTACACATTACACAATAAATCTACGTTTGCATCCACTTAATCATCTTGGCCCACCTCTTGGACAGCCTTTTGGGGAGAGGGAGCCGGTCTTGTTCATCTCTGTATTCCTTTTTTCTTGGCTAGCCACATCACTGGCCCTAAGTAAATGCTTATCATATTGAATTTCAGGTTGTTGCTTAAACATAAAAATTTATATAAACCAATTCTGTTCATATTCTCCAAAATTATAGCTGATGAGTGGTAAGATACTCATTAGTTAAACATGTCAGTGAGTAATTTACTGAAAGAGATATCACTGACTAATGTTTGGGTTTGCATAGGGAAAGTCCACAGGGTTTTGAGTTGTGTGCTAGTTGTATCTCCATAGTTGTTAAGAGTTTGAAGGATGTGGTCTTACTGTCTCATTCCTGAGTCTTTAAATTTAATAATAAAAATAGGAATCACTTTCAATTAACAGAAATTAAAGTTAAAATACTTGTCCAGAAAATCTTCTATACAACAACTTTTTATAGCTTAATAGTTTTGTAATTTCCAGGGTTAAGCTTTATCTTTTTGTTTTGGTTTGTTTTCTTCAAGTATTAAGTGTTTTGGCAGTCTTTATATCCTAGATCATAATTTATGTATCATTGATTCCTTTTGACAGTTGAGCATTTTAATATAAGCCGTGAATGTATTTAAAATTGGTAGGGAGTATTAGATTTCTATTTGTATATAATTTATTGATTGAGTGATTGATTGTGAGAGAGAGACTGCACGAGTGGTGGGAAGGGGCAGAAGGAGAGGAAGACAGAGAATCCCAAGCAGGCTCCATGCTCAGTGCAGAGCCCAAAGCAGGGCTTGATCCCAGGACCCTCAGATCTTCACCTGAGACAAAATGAAGAGTCAGATATTTGACTTGAGCCACTGATGCACCCCTATTTATATGTAATTTAAAAATACACAGGTCTGATAAGCACTTATTTCTAACTCTGGGTAAAGTGCTTTTGACTTGGGTTCTCATTATCAGCCTAATAATAATGATAATAACGCAGACAATAACAGCTTTTTATTACATGGTTTTATCATTAAGTGTCATAGTCTCAAAGGTATTGTTTCCTTCCTGCCTTTTATTTTTTTTTAATAGGATAGGAAAGGAAGGCTCACAGAAGTCACTTACTTTCACTTAATATACAGGCCAAGTAGCTACAGAGACAAATCTTGAACCTAGGTTTTATGATTGCAAGTGGAGAAATCTTTCTGCATGAGACGCATGCTGCGTCTGTTATTTATTCACTACTTATAGTTCAGATGTTTCAGAAGAAGTAGAAATAGTTTCTGTACTCAGTTTTTTCTACTGAATCAGAGACCATTGAAAGTAATAAAAACTGACATCTGCTTATTGTATTAGTAAAAACTCCACGATATAGTGCAATAAAGTAGAATACAGAAATGCAAATCCATAAGTTGTCTGAAAATTGAATGTAATGCTTTCATTGAATGTTATAATTATTTATTTGAATTCATTATTAAAAGTTAAATAGAAATTTAAAAACATTAATGTATGTATAATTTTTTTTCTTTCCCAGACAGATAGTGATTATGTACAGAGTGTTGTAGCCAACCTGGAGAAAGAGTAAGTTCTTAATTATGAAAATGATAATATTTTAGTCACTGTTACTTACTGGCTTTTTGCTAAAAGAAAATGCCTTTTTTTATAGTTCATTTCTCTGTGGAGTTTAGTCATCATTGGGTCACTATCATTGGTCTTTTACCTTGTCATAAAGTAGGTGCATATACAGTTTTCTGGATAAATTGGTGTATTTCAATATAGAAAAGATTTGAATGTCATACATATGTAACTCTGTCAAATAAATTATTGATCTTGAAGACCGTAGACAGGGTCGTATGAGATTACTTATGTCTTTCACCCTCAGTCGACCAAGAAAAAAAACTTTCTGTTGTCAGGGTAGATAGTCTTGTAGTTGTTTGAAACCTCAGTGCTAAACTATGGCTAAATCGGTTCTATTCTGCAAAGATTGGGTAATAATTTACTGTGAGCAAGGCACACAGTAAGTGTGGAAAGCTAAGGAATTGGAAAGCTTAGTAAGTTTCAGATAGGATTAGTTTTTATAATACTGCCTTCATAGTTTTAATATTAGGTGATATAAAAACTAGTCATTATAAGGGTTTCTTCATTGATTTTTACCTGTTTTTGTCCCAGAGATGTATCTTTTACTTAAAAAGACAAAAAGAAGCAACAATTATTGGTCAACTCTAGATTTAAAATAATGTGGTTCTTACTTTGTCTATCAAAATGCAAAAACCAGAAATTTTTAAAAATATATGAAGAGTTCAGCACTAAATTGTGCATTTGTTCAATTTTTTTTCCCTCAAGTGCTCAATTTCTTGGCAGCCCTTTATATATAAACACAATTTAGTATAGATTCCTCAAATATAGGAGTAGGGCAATAATTATTGGCCCCTGCTCCCCTAGACTGCATGGGCAGGTCTGTGGGGCTTATGCTGTGATTTTGTCGATTCTCTTCTTCCTCAGTGTGTAGGAACACCAAGCCCAGAAAAAAGTCCAACTAAGCATGAAAAACATTTGTATGAAGGCAGGTAGTTGCACAAGGATTTTGTGGAGATTTGCAAAAACTAAATGAGGGAGAATGCAAATGTGGAAGGAAGTACATTTGAGTTAAGCTGATTACAAAAACTTTATAACAGGTTTTCTCAACCTTGGCACTATTGACATTTGAGGCTAGATAATTTTTTGTTGTGAGGACTGTTGTATGCATTGTAGGTTATATAGCAACCTCCCTGGTGTCTACCCACTAAGGTCATTAGTACTGCCAACATTTAGGACAACCAGATTCCTCCAGACATTGCTCAAAGTACAAGACAGACACACACATTCACTGGTTTGTTTTTCTTCAATTCTCTATTTTCTGTGATACCTTCATTTAATTTTTTAAAATTCTGATACTTTTTAGGAATATAATACATGCAGTTGGCTTAGGATTCCTATGCTTCTCTAAGGATAGTAGCATTTTTTACACTGCTCTTAAAGCATTCTTAAAAACAAAAACCCAAAAACACCCTTTGTGTTACTGGAAAATTTGTATTTTCTGGCAAATAAAATCAATGATGAGCGACTTCCATGAGCACACAGTGACCCTAACAGTATACCTTACTGATGTGTTTTATGTTAAGAACAATAAGTTGAGCACTGAGATAAATAAAATCCCACAGAACTTAAATAACTCAGCTAACCTTTCTTACGGTAGATTTTCTAAAGAAATCAGTTCTGGCTTGGTGGAAATAATATCCCCTCCCGAAAGCTACTATCCTGACCTGACAAACTTAAAGGAGACATTTGGAGACTCCAAAGAAAGAGTAAGGTGAGCCTGTGTTGTTTAAGATCCCCCACCCTTGTGAGTATGATATGTAGTAAATGTTTACCATGTAATAAGTATTTACTGAAATGTAGCACATTTTAGGGTTCAGCTAATTTGTGAGAGCTAATGAATTTTTGGTTATTTGATTGGAAATTATGTGCAGTGTCTAATGAGAGGTTGAATTTGGTATGCGCAATAACTTTTTTTTTTTTTAAAGATTTTATTTGAGAGAGAGAGAGATTGAGAGAGAGAGCACACACAAGCAGGGGGAGGAGTGGTAGAGGGAGAGGGAGAAGCAGGCTCCCCACTAAGCAGGGAGCCTGATGCAGGGGCTCAATCCCAGGACCCCAGGATCATGACCTGAGCTGAAGGCAGACATTTAACCACTGAACCACCCAGCCACCCCGATCAATAACTTTTATAACTGTTGTTCTGTGGGGTTCTGACTTAAGAATATATTCAGAATAATTCAAAAGCTAGTTCAGATAGAAACCTCACATCTGTATGCAAAGTAAATGAGAACTGATTCAGTGGAAGTGATAAAAACAATATTACTGTTTTGTAGAATTATATTGTAATAATGTAAAAATCCAGCCAACTGGATTTATTTGTCTCTGTCTAAAATTGAAGGACTGAAAACTTTTATTGTGTTGTTATTAAAAACAGTGATATTCATTAGTTTTGGATTTTATATCACCAGAAAAAAGGAAAAAAATAGTGTTTTGGGAAGAGATTATATTTCTTGAGTTGTTAATTTGTCTGAAAGACAGATATATATCCATGTAATTGGTTGTCTCTCAATAAATACTATTTTAGTTTTAAAAAATTTAGGAATGGTTCCAGTAAATTCTAGGTGGACTCATTAAATTCAGAACAACTTGTATATTCTGGAGAAGTTTACTTAGTATGATTTAAACCTTTTATTGTTTTGTTTTGTTTTTTTTTAACTAGCTTTTACAACCACTTCTCTTATTCAACATTAGTCTGTTTCTATAGGCTACCAGGAATTCCCTGAAAGGACTTAATATTGTAAACTTTAATGTGTTTTGGGTTTTTTAAACATTCAGTACAATATTTATTAATTTCTGCCTTCATGCAAAGCAGTGACCCCCAAAGTATAGTTTTTGAAGCACAATTTCCCGGAGACATTAAGATGTTACATTGAAAAAAGGGCCTTCAGTCAAAGGAGTTTGGAAAATATTAGACTAAAAAGTTTTTTATTCAACAAATGTATTTACTGTTGTATGTTTCAGTGCCTCTAATATACTAATATGTCTCCAGAAAGGGAATATATGTGCTTCCCAAAATTACTTGACGTTAGACTCCTTTTTTCCTCAGGACATCTTGATGATTAGTGTTTTGATAGAGGTTTCATTAGAGAAAAGTGAATTCTCTTTCATGCTCTCCTACATGGGTGTATCCTGTGTTTATGTATATTGATACACATGTATCTATGTGTTGACAGATATTTTGTATATATTTATTGTCTACTGTGTAAATATAATGTATGTATATGTATTATAAAATATAACTTGCAGTATGCATTATAAAATATTTACGTTTAACCTTGTTTTGCTAAATTTGAGTCTGATTCCTAACTCATTTTTGAAAATTATTTCAGATGGAGAACAAAGCAAAACCTAGATTATTGTTTTCTAATGATGTATGCTCAGGAAAAGGGAATATATTACATTCAGGTAAGTGTGGTTTGTCCTTTAATGTCTTTTCACACTTTTAAGGAAGAAGTAATATCCAGAGTATATGTTCATTAAAACAGGAAGTTTTTTTTTTTAAAGATTTTATTTATTTGACAGAGACACAACAAGAGAGGTAACACAAGCAGGGGGAGTGGGAGAGGGAGAAGCAGACTTCCCGCGGAGCAGGGAGCCCGATGTGGGGCTCGATCCCAGGACCCTGGGATCATGACCTGAGCCAAAGGCAGATGCTTAACGACTGAGCCACCCAGGCGCCCCAAAACAGGAAGTTTTGAAAGTGCTGCTCAGCAGGGGGTCTGCTTCTCCCTCTGACCCTCTTCCCTCTCGTGCTCTCTATCTCTCTCTCTCTCTCAAATAAATAAATAAAATCTTTAAAAAAAAAAAGTGTAAGCCCTCTAAGATGTATAAGATTATAACAGTATATCAGAGAGTAGAAGAGTCTGTCATAGTGCCTGGTAATGTGGGCTCTGCTGTTCCATTCTCTGGTTTAGCACAAACACTAGCTTTTCACTTAATGGTGTGACAGTGGGCGGGTCACTCATCTCTTTCCCCTTCCCCCATCCCTCCATCTTTGCTCTCATCCACCCTCTCTCCACTGTTAAAAAGAACTAACGTTTGGGCGCCTGGGTGGCTCAGTTGGTTAAGCGACTGCCTTCAGCTCGGGTCGTGATCCTGGAGTCCCGGAATCGAGTCCCACATCGGGCTCCCTGCTCAGCAGGGAGTCTGTTTCTCCCTCTGACCTTCCCCCCTCTTATGTGCTCTCTCTCTCATTCTCTCTCTCAAGTAAATAAATAAAATCTTTAGAAGAAAAAAAAAAAAGAACTAAGGTTTAATTACTTGGCAAATTTTAAAGAAGGATTTTCTGATAGTTTTTTGGGTGGTCTTACAGTAAGATAGTTTTTTTTTTTAATGCTACAGTACATGTACATTTATACTGAAGATAATAAAACTGACGTTTAGCTCTAATGGTCCAGCTTTTAGCAGCATGGCTCAAAGAATAAGTCTGTAATGATGTGGCTTTTAAGCTAGCCAGGTAGGCAACAACTTAAATAATTGTAGGAGGCTCTTATTTCTTCCAAATCTCATTCTCCTTAGTGACTTAAGCTTAAATTTTACAATTGGAATTTCATTTCTTTAACCAAAGGTCTTTATTCCTTGTTCAGAATGCACATACCAGAGTGACGTAGCACACTGAGCCTCAGTTTTTTATCTATTTATTTTTTAGTATAAAAAGTTTATTAGATCTTTTCCTGGCAGGGGTTTTGATGAGAGTGGCGAGAAGAGGCTCTGGGTCTCTGAATCAGAAAGGAAATAAATGGTTTTGCAGTTGCTAGCAGGGGTTTGAGAGGGAAGGAAAGAAGGAGAAGCTTGCTATCCCATGGTAGGGCAGTCTCAGCACAGACTTTGTCTCCTTTGACATTTTATCTTGGGCCACCTGCATTCAAAGGTGCAGGCACCCTTTTGTGGTTCTCAGGTTGGGAAATGTTAATGATGATAGGGTCAGAATATAACATTGTATATAACAGTGTACAAGAGTTGGGAGTATAAAAACATGGTATCCTTTAATTAGTACGTTTCCTTTAAATGTCTTAGAGAAGTCTTTAATTTCAAGATAATAGCTTCAAAACATTTTATTTCATGTGTCCCATATTATTGTAGCTGAACCTTCGCTGTTTGTTCTAGGGCCTCTATATATTTACACGATGGTCAAGAACTTTATAGAGAGAATTTAAAAGTGTCGTTACATTGCTTTTAAAATTTGTTTTAAATTTTTCTCTAAGCATAGAATTAATAGAATCTTAAAGCACTTTTTGTGTGTGTGGAGTATAGGAAACATAAGCGTTTAGGAAATTAAGGAAAGGATGGAGTTAAGAAAAAGGATGGAGGGGGTGCCTGGGTGGCTCAGTCGATTCAGTGTCTGCCTTCCATCGGTGCAGGTCGTGATCCCAGGGTCCTGGGATTGAGTCCTTGCTCAGCAGGGAGTCTGCTTCTCCCCTGCCTGCCACTCCCCCTGCTTGTGCTTGCTCTCCCACTCTCTCTTAAAATCTTAAAAAAAAAAAAAAAAAAAAAAAGGTAGCTATGAACTGACATTTATCATACACTTAACATATGTTGTACATTGTTCTTTCCAACTTAGGCTTTACACATACTTACTCATTTAATATAAATCCTTTTTGCAAGAACAAGATCATACTGTCCCTACTGTCTCATAGCCTGTTTTACTGTCGTTTCACATATGGTAGACACCTTTACAGGCCAGTAATTACAGGTAGGAATACTTTTTAATCACTTATTGAACTATCATTATTCAGATGTCATAATAACCTTATTGTTGGTCATTGAGATTGTTCCCAACTTTTACTTGTGTCACAGATGAATCCAATGAACATCCCTAAAGTTACCCAATTTTCTAAAAAATTATGCCTCCAAAAAGAGGGAGTTGCTTCATATTGAAGTCTTCACATAATTTCATATTATATAGAATTCTCTCAGCTCATTATGATCTACAAAGTGGGAAAAATGCATTAGCCTGAAAAGTCCTCAGTTTAATACCGGTTTTGAATGTTTGTGAAGGATAGAGGTCACCCAGCAAAATGAGGGGAGAATTAGTGTGAAGAAGCAAAGGTTTTTAATTCAGACTTGATAATTATGCAAGGTGTGTGACTTCGTGGTTGCATAGGCTGGGGTGTATCCTACCCAGGACTTTGGGAGAGTGCTTTGAAAAAGGCAGTTGAGTCAGAGGTTACTCTCTGGTCAGCACAGGCATATTCCTAAAGGAGAAAAAAAAAAAAAAAGGCCACCTGTCCTAGTGTTACATTTATGGCTTGGAATGAAGTTTCCTGTGACAGAATCTCACACTTTCGTAAAGTGCTATATCACAGCTGACTTGGAGTTGAAGTGTCTTCCGGAACTTCCTGGGAGGCACTGTGTAATTCCTACCAAATCGCATCACAAAGCCCATTATATCTGGTTGCCCCACTTAGAGTGATGCCAACATTAATCAGTGGGCTTGATGGTGGCAGCCTCGTCTCTCCTTTAGAAAGCTCCCCAGCAACCACTCCCCCGGTGATTTCCGAAATCATCGATTATTGTTCCCCAGATAAGTTATTTCCTTAGAGGTGGCCAAGTGATCATTTTCTAATTCTGTAATTTGTAATGTTCTTATAAAAGCTGAGTTCTTGTGTAAAGAACTTTCGCTCCTATCTATTTGGTTACCTTGAAAAATAGTTCACCAAGGAAAGGCAGAATAAATGCCTATTCTTTCTCTTCATTAATTTTTAAAGTTGGTACCCTAGAAGTCTCCAGTGGCGGCCATTTAAAAAACATTGTTATGAACTCAAGGACTTTAAAAATATATTCGATTTGCCTTAGTTCTTGCAGTCATTATTCACACTGATGCTCACACTGGTACATCATAAACCAGGTGGAATCTCTTCACGTTGGCTCTTGTGGGACGCCTGGTGGCTCCGTCGGTTAAGCATCTGCCTTCAGTTCAGGTCATGTTCCCAGGGTCCTGGGATCGAGCCCCACATCGGTCTCCTAACTCAGCGGGGAGCCTGCTTCTCCCTCTCCCTCTGCCTGCCCCTCCCCCTGCTAGTGCTTTGTCTCTCTCACTATCTCTCTCTCTCTGTGTCAAATAAATAACATCTTTAAAAAAAAAATGGTTCTTGTATTCCTTCCATGTCAGTCCAGTAATCTTTGATCACTACTTTGCTGACTGGCACAAGATTTGCACATTTCCTGTTCCAGATCTAGAATCAGTCATTTCTGTGAGGAGCCCTGTTGTGTCTGGAGGCAAATAGTATTTAAGACCACAGTCTGGGTGCGTGAGATGCTCATTGCTCTTATGGTGTCTTTGCTTTTTGGGCTTATTTCTCAGGGGGGAAAACTACAAGCTCATATTGATATTCCCAAATCAAATGAAGATTTTGGGGCTTGGTTTTTAATAACATTAAAAGTCTTGGTTTTTAATAACATCCTGTTAACATAATTCTTTTATTCTATAGTATGTCTGAAATAGTTTCAGAATGATAATACCATTATCACTACTAACTGTTAGACTGCTGAATGCTATTTAAATTTTCTTTCTCCTTTTTCTCCCCCTTAGAATATATCCTACTATGGATAGATAGTCAAAATTCTGTGTTTGAAAGTCACTGGAAGAAATTCTTTATACTGTGTGACCATGCCGCCAAATTGATATGAAATTTGGTTTAATTGTTTCATTTCATATCCAGTTTTTAGGAATTTTTATCCTTTTTAGTTATTAAAAATTTTCAAAATCAAAAACTTACATAAAATAAGATACACAGAAGTCTCACTTTTATTCCCATTCCCATAATTCTGTTTTCTCCCTTCCCCATGGGTAACCACCATTGGTTTTTTCTTTCTTTTTTTAAAATTTTATTTATTTGAGAGAGTGAGAGCGTGAGCCTGGGGCGGGGGGTGTGCGACAGGAGGATAAGGAGAAGCAGGCTTCCCGCGGAGCAGGGAGCCCGATGCGGGGCTCGATCCCAGGACCCCGAGATCATGACCTGAGCCGAAGGCAGATGCTTAACCGACTGAGCCACCCAGGCGCCCCTAGTTTTTTATTTCTTTTTGTACTTCAAAAAAATTTAAGCAAAAATATATATAAAGTATTTCATATATAATATTCCAAGATATTCATTTTCTGATAGCACATTTGCGTACTGTAAAAACAGTATTTTGCATCTTGGTTTTTAGCTTCCCTCTGTAAACTAGTGATCACTAGTGAGAGGTAAGAGTTGTTAAAGACCGGCTCTTGCCATGACAAAACACCTATGTCAGAGAAGCACATATGCTCCCTGAAAAACCTGTGCATGAGGGTTCATAGCAGCTTTATTCATGCTAGCCAAAATCTGGAAATAAGCCAGATGTTCTTCAGCAGGTGACACACTCGACCACGGAACACGGAATAATGAAAAGAAACAAACTATTGATGCACACCACATCTTGGATATTAGGGAGCTATGGGGACTTTAAAATCCAATTTTGAAAGGTTACGTACTGTTTGATTCCATTTATATGGCATTTTTGAAATGACAAAATTGTAAGAATGAGAACAGACTGTTGGTTACCAGATGCTGGAAGAGTGGAAGGGAGGATATGGCTATTGATCTAAGGGGTAGCGGTAGCACAAGAATCCCCATGATGGAATTGTTCTCTCTCTCCCAAAAATTACATGGAACTAAACACACACCCACCCCTACACACACCTGAATGCTGTAAGACTAGTGAAATTTAATAAGGTTAATGAATTATATGGTCAGTCAATTGTAGTGCAGTTATACTGGAGGATGTTAGATTGGGGGAAACTGGGTGAAAGGTACTCGGGATCTCTGTCTTATTTCTTAGAGCCACATAGGAATCTACAGTTTAAAAAAACACTTAAAAAAAACCTTAAGTTTTTTTAAAAGTGAAGTTGCTTCTATACAGAAATCTGTTGCATTTCTATACACTAATAACAAAGTAGCAGGAAAAGGAATTGAGAAAACAGTCGGTTTACAATTGCACCAAAAAAGAGTAAAATACCTAGGAATAAACTCTAACCAAGGAGATGAAAACCTGTACTCTGAAAACTGTAAGACAGTGATGAAAGAACCTAAAGATGACACAAACAAATGGAAAGATATTCCATGCTCATAAAGTGGAAGAATTGACATTGTTAAAATGTCCGTACAACCCAAAGCAACCTACAGATTCAGTGCAATCCCTATCAAATACCAGCAGCGTTTTTCCTGGAACTTGAACAAATAATACTAAAATTTGTATGGAACCACAAAAGACCCTGAGTAGCCGAAGCAGTCTTGAGAAAGAACAACAAAGCTGGGGGTAACACAATCCTAGATTTCAAGGTATACTAGACTACAGAGCTGTAAGAATAAAAACAGTATGGGACTGGCACAGAAATAGACACACAGATCAATGGAACAGAATAGAGAGCCCAGAAATGAAAGTGAAGTTTGATGAGATGTGAGAGTGGAACAAAGCAGTTTTCCTAATTGAATGTAGAAATGTGAATTGGTAACCAAAATCAGTGTACTAAGTTTTAAATAGGCATTTGACTATTTCAACTACATCTCTATACATTTAAATAGTCCAAACTTGTTTTTGCAGTTACTTACTGGAAAAATTTGGAACTGCCTGATATTAGGGATCATCTTTCCTTGGGCATAGACAGTGTTTAGGTTTGAGTGTGGGCACCTCTTCTCTCATAAAGGAAAGTTAGGTGTCCGTGTAGTTCTGCACTTTGTCTAGTTTCCCTTCCAGCTACCCTAAAGCTCTGAAGGCATATAACATGTCTTTTCTGTTCACCGATATATTCTCTAGGGTTAGTATAGTGTCTGGAACACAATAGAAGCTCAATAAATATTTGGTGAGTCAGTATCCTGTCTTTCCAGATACTCCTGCTGTTTCTTCATGGGTAGGAAGAAGAAAGCTTGTAGGATTTAGATACATGAAAAATCTAAATATCAAAATAAGTGAAAATTACTTAGCAGGTAACTAGAAGTGAGAACATGAATTTAAGAAAAGGAAAAATTTTTTTAGGATATTAAAATCACCTTGTGACTTGAAAATTTTATAAGAGGAGATTCTAGGGAGGAAGTCTTTGCATACACTTAATGATCCCTGATCTTTGTCAGCTCCCAATTGAATTGGTAAAGATTCCAAGCATAAATAACACATGATGTTGACCGAGCATATGGGATTAACTGGCACTCTGAATCACCAGTTTCTTAAGTAGTTTGAAGATATCATTTGTTTATTTATATTTTTTAAAAGATTTATTTTAGAGGGAGAGAGAGCAGGGGGATGGGCAGAGGAAGAGGGAGGGAGACTCTCAAGCAGACTCCCAGCTGAGCACAGAGCCTGATGCAGGGCTCGATCTCATAATCCTGAGATTGTGACCTGAGCTGAAATTAAGAGTCAGACACTTAACCAGCTCAGCCACCTAGGTGCCCCTGAATATATCTTTTAAAATTTCAAAAGTGAGCTTTCAGGAATCTGTCCTACAGAAATGAAAAGCACTAATATGTAAATATAAGCGTATTTATTGCATCATTGTTTGTATTGACAAAAAATGAGAAACAAGCTGGATGTATGCCTACAATCGGGGAAGAGTTGAATGAATTGTTTTACATTGATACCATGGAATATTATACACCTACTAAATATTTATTAACCTGGAAAGATATTCATGGTGTATTAAGAGAAAAAAAGACTGTGATAAGAAGCTCCCTTATTTATAAAAATGTAAATGTGGATGGGAACCTTAAGTACATATGGGTCTTTTTGTGCTGATGGCCATATAGAAAGTGTCAAAGGGATGCACACCCAACTTTTAACGTTGGTTACCTCAACTGGCAGCCTGGAGGGCAGAGAAAGAAAGCTGTTGGCTTTTTGACTTAGTACATGTATTATGTAAAAATAAAAAAATGTTAAAGGCTTACAAAAATTCTTTTCCTTTGAAAAGTAAAAAGGATTAGTGTGAAATCATGCTGGGCACTATGAAAGTGCCAAAAGAGTATTCATGGAGTGGGACTGTGATTTCCCACAGTAAGGGAGTGGTTCAGGTGACTTGCTATGTGACTGTCCCATTTTATTTTCCTCATTTTCTCTTAATAAAATTTATTTTGGTATTTTCATCATTTTTGACCATTTTTTTCTTGATTTGCATTATAAAAGTATGCTTGAGTTTTCTTATAATAAAGAATGTCCTTTTATCTGAATCTTTCCATCTCTTTCTGATTTATTAATCTGATTGTTCAACTTTCTTTAGCTTGAAGATGATATTATTGTCAAACAGAATTACTTTAACACTATAAAAAATTTTGCACTTCAACTTTCTTCTGAGGAATGGATGATACTAGAGTTCTCCCAGCTGGGCTTCATTGGTAAGAAAAGTGACAGATTTACCTACTTTTCAGAAATAACTGTGACTCTTGGAATCTTAAATTAATTTCTTTTACCTTAAAATTGCCTTTTTTTCCCTCTGGAAATGGATTGCTTTTGAGGAAATTTAATTTAGGTCAACTTCTACATATGAAATGATGAAAGTCACCCCAGAATAATATTTGGATACTTCTAGGATTCAGTATTTACTGTGGAGTACACACACATAGCCAGCTATGGTCCTGAGCATATCTGATTTCTTTTCTGGCCCCTCCAGTTGCTCTTTTATGGTCCAGTGCTTTTGCAGGATCAGGGTTCTTTTAAAAAGAGTGCCACAATAAATGTTTTCTAGTATGAGTTCCTGTGTGTTTGGTGTAGTCCTTGAAGTTCCTGTTCAGTGATTAATTTGTATTCGTTTGTTGCTTTCATAGACTAGGCAAGGTGCTCATTTAAAATTTTTTTCCACTAAAATCCCTAAATTCTGCAATTAAGGAGAACATGTTGAAAGTTGAAGAATTGCAGGAAGTTTACAGGTTTTAAAAAACACCCAGAGGATCACATTTAACTTCCTGTAGTACTTTAAAACCTTAAGTATTAGAGGCTGGGCCTTTGACCGTGTTGGTTATCTCAAAACTCAATTTAAGAGTCAAAAACCATCTTTACTTTTGAAGGTTTCATTGACGACAGCATTAGACCTTGTTTTTTGCATGTATTGATTTGGTTAATTTTTTTTTTTTTTTTTACCTAAACCTAAAGGAACCTAAAGTTTTTTTTGTTTTGTTTTGTTTTAAATGGGAAGAATTTTAATAAGAAATGAAGGAAAAAAATCTCTGACTTGGTTCTTGAATCCTTTGAGCCATAGCTGTGTGATAGATTTTATAATGGAGAAAGTCAGGAGTTCAGTAGTTCTGTGTATACCCAGGTGACAACTCAGAATGTTTAGCTGAAGCAAGTTTGTTTGCTTTTGATAAGACAAGTGGGGAAGTTATTCCTAATGACTTTTATTTGAAAGCACAAGCTTTTATGTATTTGTTGTATAGATCTCATTTATTTAAGCCATTTTGTTGCCTGGTTTCTTTATAACAGCTATTGACTGAGAATGTTTTTTTCAGGTAAAATGTTTCAAGCGCCAGACCTCACTCTGATTGTGGAATTCATATTTATGTTCTATAAGGAGAAACCCATCGACTGGCTCTTGGACCATATACTCTGGGTAAAAGTCTGCAACCCTGAAAAAGATGCAGTAAGTTGATTTCTTGTGAGGGTGGATGTAGGAGTGCTGACACTCCTCTGGCCCGTCATTTTATTCATGTTCGCTCCATGACCTCTCTTGGGGCTACGTGCTCAGGGCTCATGATGATTAATATATATACGTTAGAAATGCCACCTTAGGCTGGGATGGAGAGGGCTTGTTTTGGTCTGCCCTGTGTCTGTTAGAATACTCTTTCCCCTTCCTGACACACAGGTGGTACAACGAGATCTAATTAAAGGTTACCTGTCAGGTGCATGCAAACCCTTTGATCTCACTACAAGGCCCTTGCTCACTACAGTGTCCTCTTGCTCTATAAAATCTGTGGACTAAGGTCCAGACCTTGCAGAGAATAACTGCATGTTGGATCATCATCCCCCCCAATTCCACCCCTCCCCCCAACACACACACACCCACCCACTATCAGTTACCTTGAATAAACTCTGTGCTTTCTCAGTTTGAGGGATACTTTACTGTCCCTCCCCTACCTCTAACAGGGGAAGAGGCTTCTTTTCTGTATCTCGTGAAAGTGACTTTCAGGGAGCCAGATTTTGTGAATGAACAGTTAAATAGCTGAATGAAAAGTGTTTTCACTTAACATTTGAAGTGCCTGCCTCCTTTCTTGAACTGACAGAAAGTTCCTAAATTAGAGGGACTTTTAAATAACAGTGGAGGGGTGCGTGGGTGGCTCAGTCGTTAAGCGTCTGCCTTCCGCTCAGGTCATGATCCCAGAGTCCTGGGATCGAGCCCCGCATCGGGCTCCCTGCTCGGCGGGAGGCCTGCTTCTCCCTCTCCCACTCCCCCTGCTTGTGTTCCCTCTCTCGCGCTCTCTCTCTGTCAAATAAATAAATACGATCTTTAAAAAAAAATAACAGTGGAAAATCCTGTAAATCAGTGAAGTCCACCTTTCTTTAAATTGCTGATAAATGTTAGCAGTGTCTTTAGGCTCTGGTATTTCGTTACTGCGGGCTATCGATGTTCTCCTCTCTGTCCTGGGCGGGGGGGCGGTTATTTCAGCTTTCTTCATACTCTCTGTCATCTTTCTTTTTTCAAATCCTTTGGGGACACTATCAGGCCCCAACATATCTGGAAATAAGGACTGAAATAGAAGTAATATTTTATACCAAAACAATGGCAAGTCAAAAAGTACTTTTTAGTATATTACTTGTAAGAAACCAGCGTTCATACTAATATGCTGACCTTTGGGGTGATGGTAGCAGGTAAGTAAGCAAACGATGATTTTTTTCTTATCATGTTATTTCCATAGAAATCTTGTTGTAAAAAGTAATTAGATATGTTTTCCTTGTCCAATTTGAATTGTGCCTCTGGAAAAAAATATTTATTTTGTGTGAGCATAAATGTGAATACACATTCTTAAAAATAAGTTATTTTCGACATGTGGTAACAGGAACTCTTTATTATGGGAATGTGTCTTTATAGGGATGACTTAACATTGATTCTAAAACAATTAATTTGACTTCATGACCTTATTATATCATCTAGAATAGTTTGATTATCCTACCTGCTACTTAGTTTTTAGGATACTGCCTTCTGATGTTTGGAAGCTATTGTTACATTCTTTTTTGTTTGTTTTTTTCTTTTTAAAACACTTTCTTAGAGCAAATCATGGAATATAGCCAAATAGCAAAGTAGCTACTTTCCAACAATAATTGAACATATAAATTGAGTTGAACAATTCATTTTTATGATGTAAGTCCTGGCCTGTATTTTCTTTGTGATTTATGGGAATTTTTATTGTAGGACATGGGAAAATTCATGTGATCTTTACGCTCCTACAGTATACTTGCATTCGGTTGGTCCTGTGCAGTATTTTATCTCCTATAGGGTTAGGTTCTAAAATGAGTCTGGGAGTTGAGAATCTCTGATAGTAAAAATTAAAACCATTTAAATCATCTACAAATTTTAGCACACGGCTCTTTGGCCAGTTTGATCTATCTATTCTGTCACTGCTCCTTAGGCCGTGTTTTTCTGTGGCCCGTAATTCTTCAGTTGCTTCCCCTAGGATGTCAGGGAAGCTGTCACCACATACTTGCTGGCACCCAGAACAGTACCTCTTCGACAGTGGTCTGGAAAACCCCTCTGAGCATTCCCACATTCTTCCATGGGTTTCCCAGCCCACTTTGACTCCTCAGACACCAGTGTGTGCATGGCTTATTGAGAGGGCTCACTCTTGGGCACCGTTCATTCTCTTCTTCCTCTCCCTCCCCCACCTTCCCTTCCCCGCCGCCCCCCCATCCCTCACTCTGCTCCTTTACTCTACCTTTCTTCCTTTCCCTTGCCTTCTGCTTGAGGAGTTCGATTTGTGTAATTAGAATATGTTCTATTACCTCTATTCCACTGTGAGTAATAATAGTAATGAAGTAAAACCTCTTGAGAAAAATTAAGCATTTCAGTACCCAGAAAATTATCGGAGGCCTTTCCAAGTGGAAATGTCTTACAAATAAAAGATACACGAGTATGTCTTTTCAGTACGTTCTTGGCCTAGAACTTGTAAAAGTCACTGAAAATGAGAAGAGTTGGTAAAAGCCTGACAGGACAGCTGGAGCTGTCTTGAAGTCCCGAGTTCACACACAGGGAGAGCCCTGCTGGCATTATGGGTTCCCCACACCAGGGTCAAGCGTGAGGGCAGGTTGTAATCTGAAGTCTAGGCCGGGAGGCACTTCATGTGGAAGTACGAGTCTCCCATATTCAACTGGAGCTGAATTGTGGAACTTGAGATACCATGTACTTGCTTATGGTCGAGCTGTTGCCTTGCATTTTCAGATTACTTTGATGCAACAAAATGTGCCTTTTATTTTTGCAAATTCTTCATTATATTGTCCGATTAAAGGTATTCTGTATATTTGAACCAAACCTCTAGTCTGTAGTGTGTGCGTTTTAAAAGTCGAACGTACACTTAGTTGTGCTTATTTTAAATTTCCATATCTGTTTATCTAGTAGGTAGCAAATCTCTTAATGTCTTAAAGAAGACCCTAAAAATTACGACTTGGAATTATGAGATGAAGTTGGATTTTCTTTCCAATATTCTTTAAAAGGACTTCTGGAAGGGGCACCTGGGTGGCCCAGTCAGTCGAGCGTCCGACTCTTGGTTTCAGCTCAGGTCATGATCTCAGGGTTGTGGGATCGAACCCCACATCAGCTTGGTGCTGGGCATGGAGCCTGCTTAAGATTCTCTCTCCCCCTCTCCCCCTCTCCCCCTCCCCACCGCCACTCTGTCTTTAAAAAGAAAGAAATTAATAAAAGACTTCTGGTTTTTCTCTTGAGGACAAGATTTCACTTTGACACTAATGTGATTTTTTTTTCAACATTTAGAAACATTGTGATAGACAGAAAGCAAATCTACGAATTCGCTTCAGACCTTCCCTTTTCCAACATGTTGGTCTGCATTCTTCTCTATCAGGAAAAATTCAGAAACTCACGGTTGGTGATTTAATTTTATTTTTCTCATGCACATACAGTTTGTTATTTACTGTATAGTCATTGCTCTTCTTCAGTATAAATAAGCTATATGGTGTTTAACAGCATACTTGTCTCTCCTCCTAGGATAAAGATTACATGAAACCATTGCTTCTTAAAATCCATGTAAACCCACCTGCAGAGATATCTACTTCTTTGAAGGTCTACCAAGGACATACACTGGAGAAAACTTACATGGGGGAGGATTTCTTCTGGGCTATCACCCCAGCAGCCGGAGACTATATCTTGTTCAAATTTGATAAGCCAGTCAATGTAGAAAGGTTGGTGACTCTTGAAATCTATTTGGTCTTATGATTCTACACCTCTTATTCATAGTGTGAATCCATTTATGATGGATTTTTTGTGTGTATACAACAGATGTGAGGAGACAGTGGGTCCCAAATGTTAGGTTATAAAATACATTTCCTACAACTCGGTAGTAAAATGGGTATGTTGTTTTCAGATATGATATCAGCCCTTAGCATGTTTGATAAATTCTGCTGGTATTGTTGAACATATATTTAGTATAGTTTTTTTAGTACTTTTAGGTAGAACTCTCCCTCAAAATATAAAATTAGTTTTCATGTCCTTATTCTAGAATATCCCTTGGGATTTGACTGAGAGCTAGTCAGTTACTTAGGAAATTGGCTGAAATGATAAATTTGACAGACTGTGACCGTCCCTAGTCAGTGATTTTACAAATGCTGGCTTGCTTTTAGGCTGCCGTGGAAGAATTTATAACCCTTTTTTGTTTTTTAGAATTGATGTTCATTGTACAGAATTTAGGACTCTTTTCTCCCTGTTCTTTAACAGTCATGATTCCTCCAACCTTTCCTCAGTTTGGGGTGTCTTCCCCAGACTACACCATCTGTGGTACACTTAAATGTCATCCCCGAATGGACTACTCTGTAGCCTGTGGCCCATTGTGTTATGTGTTCTCGTGTGAGGACTATCCAGTTTTTAGAACCCACCAAAAATCATTTGGAATAATTCTCCTTAAGGTTTTCAGAAACAATGCATAGCTAACATGTTATTAATTTTATTTTATTCTCTAAACTGATTCTAAAGAGGAATTTAAGTGTGTAAAAATGTTTTCGGCAATGGGAATATGACAGGAAAAACCTAAGAATACTTTTGTGTAATATTTTGCATTTATGAGCATATAATATTTTGTTATTTAATGTTCATTTTTATACCAGATAGGGTGATATTCAGCACTTTGAGGTAGTATTTACCACACTTAAAAGAGTCATCACGGGGTGCCTAGGTGGCTCAGTCAGTTGAGTGTCTGACTCCTGATCTCAGCTCAGGTCTTGATCTCAGGGTCGTGGGTTCGGGCCCCGTGTTGGGCTCCATGCTGGGTGTGGAGCCTACATGAAAAAAAAAGACTCATCATAAATATCTGAAATGGGGTTAATATCCAAAATATAGAAAGAATTTACACAACTCAGCACCAAAAAAAGCAAATGATTTGATTAAAAAAATGGGCAGAGGACCTAAGTGGACATTTTTCCAAAATGACATACAGATGCCCAAGAGATGAATGAAAAGATGGCTCAGCATCAGTAAGCATCAGGGAGACGCAAGTCAAAGCAATGAGATATCACCTTACACCAGTTAGAATGCCTAAAATCAGAAGGACAAGAAATAACAAGTGTTGGTGAGGATGTGGAGAAAGGGGACCCCTCGTGCACTGTTGGAGGGAATGTAAATTGGTGCAGCCACTGTGGAAAACAGTATGGAGGTTCCTCAAAAAATTAAAAATGGAACTACAATATGATCCAATTATTGCACTGCTGGGTATTTATCCAAAGCAAAGGAAAACACTAATTCAAAAAGATACTTGCAGCTCTATGTTTACTCTGCAGCATTATTTACAGTAGCCAAGATAGGGGGGCAACCCAAGTGTCCATCAGTAGACAAATGGGTAAGGAAAATGTGGTATACCTACCCACAAGGGAATATTACACAGCCAGATGAAGGATGAGATCCTGCCGTTTGTGACAACATGGATGGACCAAGAGGGTATTAAGCTAAGTGAAGTAAGTCAGCCTGAGAAAGATACCATATAATTCCACTCAGGAATCTTAAAAACAACCCACAAGTAAACAAAAAGCAGAATCAGACCTGTGAATACAGAAACTGGTGGCCAGAGGGGAGGGGAACAGGGGCGGGAGGCAAAATGGTGAAGGGGAGTGGGAGCCACAGGCTTCCAGTTAGGGACTGAGTGAGTTGCTGGAGTAGTAGCCTCAGCACGGGGAATGTGGTCCGTGATAGTGTAATGGCACCGTCTGGTGACAGATGGTAGCTGTGCTTGTGAGCACAGACCAGCCTAGATGGTGGGTCACTCTGTTGTACACCTGAAACCAGTGTAACCTTGTGTGTCAGCTGCACTCAAAGAATTTTACTTTATTTTTTAAAGATTTTATTTATTTTTTGACAGAGAGAGACACAGCGAGAGCAGGAACACAAGCAGGGGGAGTGGAGGAGGGAGAAGCAGGCTTCCCGCCGAGCAGGGAGCCCGATGCGGGGCTCGATCCCAGGACCCTGGGATCATGACCTGAGCCGAACGCAGACGCTTAACGACTGAGCCACACAGGCGCCCCTGCATTCAAAGAATTTTAAACAAAGAGTCATCATACAATTAGAAACAGTTTTTCACCTCCATAAATCAGAATAGTCTCAGACCATGTCGGTTGGTTTATTTTTTGCAAGTTAAAATTGTGCCAGCAGAGAATCTGCTAGAGAACTCCTATATTGGAGATCAGATTTCTTAACAAATATATTTACAATAAACTTCTGATTACATGACCCTACTGAGGACCCATTTCTAGTAAAACACAGTTCTTTTAAAAACAAAGGACCCCTGAATTTTCTTAGAGTTCACGGAGAGACCCACCCTGCCTAGAATACAGAAAAGAGATCACTTTTGACTTGCACAATAACTTACTTGCTGAGAGGGGAAAAAGCAGAAGTTGTATTTATCAATACAGAAATTGAGTGTTAGGGAAAATATTTTCTGACTATATAACATGATATGATTTGATTACACAAAAATTTTAAAATATGAAAAATGAGGAAAAAATCACAACCCCAGCGACACCATTGTGACCATATTGGCACATTTTTTTTTTTTTGTAATTCTGTGCACTTTCTACTTTGAAAGCCATTATGGTCTGTATGTAATTTTATGTCCTATTTTCCATTATAATTTGTCATAAGTGATTCATAAACATTTTAGTAGTTGCACAGTATCCCCATTTCCTGGCTGTACCATGATTTACTTCTTCTTATATTAAACTTTGTAGATCGTATTGAGTTTTCCACTATAATCACATAGGAAACACCTCTGAATCAGTCTGTCTAAACGCCAAATTCTGTCCATCGTTCTTTTCTTAAAAGTGGCTTCCCCTGTCTTGTGTTGTTGCATCTATAGCTGAGGTCCTGAGTGGCCCAGGGTTATAGGAAAGCAGCATTCCAAGTCAGAGATGTCTTTTGAAAAAAGGTGTCTCTCATCTGAAAATGTTGGAATTAATTTTGGGTGTAGCTTAAGGGAGCTAATCTTAGAGGGTGCCCTTCCCTGTGGAAGATTTGAAAATCAGGTCTTCATCACAGGTGATTTTTGCCCACTAATACCGTACTGTACCATAAGCATACTCTAACTGCTCCTTGCTGAGTACTTTTAATACGCAGGCTACTGTCAGTTCTCATAAACCCCTTGCTATAGTCCTGTGAGGTAGGTGGGAGTCTCCGTACTGTCTAGAGGAAACTCAGGCTCAGGAAGCTAAGGTAACTTGCTAAAGGTGAGAATTCTATTAAATGAGAGACCCAGGAATTGGATCCAGGTCTTTCTAAGTCGAAACTTTGAACCATTTAACTTAGCTGAACTCAAGTTTTCAGTTTAAATTTAGATATGCTTTGCATGCCCTGTCTGGTTTTTACACCTCCCCTCCCGTCACGTGCCCCCCCCCCCCGCCGCCGCCACATACACTTACACACCCACACTAGTTTTCAGGGTATCAGAACCTGAGGACATTATCCTCATACCCAGAGAGTATTTTAGATTGATCATAGTTGTTTTTCTTTTCCTTTTTTTTTTTTTTTAAAGATTTTATTTATTTGACAGAGAGAGACACAGCGAGAGAGGGAACACAAGCAGGGGGAGTGGGAGAGGGAGAAGCAGGCTTCCTGCGGAGCAGGGAGCCCCCGATGCGGGGCTCGATCCCAGGACCCTGGGACCATGACCTGAGGTGAAGGCAGATGCTTAACGACTGAGCCACCCAGGCGCCCCAATCATAGTTGTTTTTCAAATGTTTGTTCATAGTGATAAGTGGGATGATTCAGATATTTGGAATTGGTTAATTTAGTCTCAGGCTATGAATACGAAAATTATTTGTATTGGATAAAACTAGTCTTTGAGCTTGCCATGGCTCATGGCTATCCTGGTGAAAATTTTCTCTGATACAAGATACAGTAGTAATATGTAGGTGCTGCAGCTTTGATTATTCTTCTTGAGAGGTGTATATATTTAAAACAGTGTAAACCACAGCCTAAAACTGTCCTTTTTAAAAAATCTGTTAAATACATTATTACATTAAGCAACAAACATGCCCCTTCTGATGGAAGGAATTAACACATCACCTAAGGGTTGCATCCTTAAGTTTTCAAGTTTCCTGCAACTATTCAGAATACATAATATGCCCTTGCTACGAGCTCCGGTGCTGTCTGCCCTGCAGTCAGAGTCTCGCTTAGAACGCTCACTCGGAGGTACAACCATTTTCCTGAATCTCTGCGAAGTCTAATCTGACTCATACTTTTATTTTTATGTTTGTCTTTTCAGTTATTTGTTCCACAGCGGCAACCAAGAACATCCAGGAGATATTCTGCTAAACACAACTGTGGAAGTTTTGCCTTTTAAGGTATGCCTATTTTTTTCCCCCAATTTTTCTTTTCTTTTCTTTTTTTTTTTTTTAAGATTTTATTTATTTGCGAGAGAGAGAATGAGAGACAGAGAGGATGAGAGGGAGGAGGGTCAGAGGGAGAAGCAGGCTCCCCGCTGAGCAGGGAGCCCGATGTGGGGCTCGATCCTGGGACTCCAGGATCATGACCTGAGCCGAAGGCAGTTGCTTAACCAACTGAGCCACCCAGGCGCCCTCCCCTAATTTTTCTTAAGAACGAAGACCAGGGGACTTGGTTTGAGGTTATTCTTGTTTATGAGGTGAAAGAAAATTCTCATGATCGCAGGACCTTAGTGGCAAGGTTAAATTTTTTTTTTTTTTTTTTAATGGGGAACACTTAGTGTATTGTCCCATCTGTCTCATTCGTAGAAAGAGCCTCCATTTTGTTTCCTGGTGGAAAATATCTTGGAAGTTCATACTAGGAAAATAAATGAATCATCATTTTACTTTAATGCTTAACTGCTGCTTACATTTTGAGTCCCGAAATCCCATGTGGCTTTAATGCCTGTTGTTTAATACACAAAATTAATTTACTGGTCTTTAAGGAGTGCTTAGATTTCTTTCAAGTTAACACAGTTTTTTATTTTTAATAAAAATAGTACCCTATTAAAATTAATTAAAATTTAAATTTTCTAACCACAAATATAGATTGATTCAGATAGTTAAAAAAAGAATATTTGTATTGATAAACTCTTTAAGGTTCAAGACTGAGATGACATTTTCTATTTTTTAGAGATAGTTGTGCCACAAACACCACTTTTATGTTTATTAAGATATATTAGATCTGTTTTAAATAGAAGTAATGATTTGTATAAAGTTGATGTTTTTGTTCTATTTTAGAGTGAAGGTTTGGAAATAAGCAAAGAAACCAAAGACAAACGATTAGAAGATGGTTATTTCAGAATAGGTAATACCTCCTACTAGTAAAATGTCCTTGACTTTTCTGGACTTACTCCTAAAGTAATTTTAAATTCTTGTAGGATGTTAAGCACTTTAGGGTTACAACTACCAATGTCCTCCCAAGTTGTGTGTGTTCTCGTGTTTCAGGACATACTTTTACTATCTTGACCTAACCAGGATTTCAGATCAAAGGTTCATTTGTTGATTCCTCTTTCTCTCCTCACCTGCTGTTTCATTGTTGATAGTCACTGAGAGATCATCTACCTTCAGCTGCCTTCTGCACTCCTACCAGGTGACCTTAGCTACTTGCAAGATCCCAGCAACATCCGTGTGCTAGAATCTCTGTGCCCTTAGCCCCTGCCTCCGTACTGAGCTTCGGGTCTGTGTGGAGATGCTTTCTCTCTTTTTTTTCTTTTAAGGTTTTATTTATTTATTTGAGAGAGAGAGAGAAAGAGTGCGCACAAGCAAGAGGAGGGGAAAGAGGGAGAAGCGACCCCCTGCTGAGCAGGGAGCCCGATGCGGGGCTCCATCCCAGGACCCTGAGATCATGACCTGAGCCGAAGGCAGACGCCCAGGTGCCCCTTGAGATGCTTTCTGACATGGCCACACAGCCATCTGCTCTGCCTGTACCAGGGTCATATCTTCTGGTCACCGTGGTTTTGTTCACCTGGTTGCCCAAGCCCAACCTTGGGAGACACCCTGAACACCCACCCCACTTTTTGCCATCCATTAACACATAAACTGCGTCTGTCTAGGGATACGTACTCACCTGGCCTGGGACGCTGCTGGAGTCCACTGCCTCCGTGCCTGAGCCAGAGAAGGTCTGCCTCTCCCTGCGTCCTTTCGTTGGCTTTGCCCAGAGCCCCTGCTGTTAGCTTTAGCAAAGTCCATATTACTGTGATGTTAGCCTGGGGAGAGACCTTAACACCTTGCCATGATCACATTCCTTAGCTTCCATCCACTTTCACGTCTTGTTTCCTTTGATTCTCAATTTGCATCGTCCTGAGACTCTCGTTCCTCTAATGCTCCTTGCTTTCATGTGCAGCCGTGTCCCTGGCCATTTTCTCCACCTGATATTCCTCCTAATGAATGCTTTCTCGTTTTCTGTTCAACACTGCAACTGGCCCTCTTGTCTGCTCTTCCTGCCACACTGCGTGTGCTTTACTGTGTAGCCTTGCCGTGTCACAGCACGGTCCCGTGTCACAGTGCGGTCCCGTGTCACAGCGCGGTCCCGCGCGTCGGGGGACGGGGTGGGGAAAGCAGGGGGCGATGGTCCTCGGCCCTCTCCTGCAGGCAATGTACGGCCTGTTGCTGGATAGGTGTCGACTCAGTGAATGATGATATATTTTCTTAAAACAAATTGATGCTCTTCGTAGTAGTAGGCAGAAGAGAATATTGGTAAGTTTACGCTGTAGGTACACAGGATGGATACAATCTGAAAACTGTCTCTCGAGCAGTTTTCACATTTGGTGTCATTGTTTCTGCTACAAGGCTTGTGTGATAACCCTCATTTTTGCATAGTTTTGGTGGATAGATGAGTTTCACTATTTTCATATTTGGGTTATATATATAACTTAGCTCACTTCTAGAAATGTACAAAAAATTGGCTGCCTATCCAAGACATTTATTAACCCTTTTACTTGCCTATTATTTAGTTTCTGAGACTGTTGTGTTCTAGATTAGGAAAGCATAGGAAACTGACCATCTGCAGTAATTTGAAGATAATGACCATCTAAGACATCAACTCATACATGTTTAGAATGGAAGAGGACTTGGGGATCAGCCACCCTAGGACCTTGTAAAATGGAAAGGTGCATCAGAAACAAAGAGCAAATGATCTTTCTCAATTGACTATAAAAAATTCCGCTCCCTTAAGTATGCATTAGTGGAATAGCTTCGCAGACCTTCCTCATGGTGAAACAGCCATAACTGGTGAAAATTATTGTCAAAAAAAAAATAGAGCAAGCAGAGAGACATTACTCATGAACATCTGAATCTGAGTAATAACATTGAGTCTGTGGTCTTTGAGTCCTGACCCACTGCATTTCCCATACTGCAGAGCTCAGTGAGATGGAAGCTCTGTCCTCGGCACTTAGTAGTTCCCATTGTGAGGCGAAGAGCCTGGTTACAGAAACACTGGAAGGACGGGATGGATGGCGTGCGGTCAGGGTGTGGCAGGAGGGGGGGCTGCGTGGGGCGTGACCTTGGAAGTCTAGGCCCATGCCAGGATTTGGGAATCCTAGTCACTCTTCAGTAATTTCTTCCTTCCGTTCCCCCTTCTTTCCCGTCTTTCAATGCTGACCTACCAGGCCACTGGGTCAAGGACAAAAATTAAATTTCTTGTTTGGAAAGCTGGGTACAGGCCCATGGTACCAGATGCAAATTTGAAAACATAAACTTAAGTCTCCTTCGCTCTTCTCTTCCCCCCTACCCAGTGCTTCTTGGCGGCAATTCCTTTAAGGATTTATGTCCTGCCCAGACGTATTCTGTTCAGAAATAAAAAGATAAGAGTATATTCTTTAAAAACCCACAGTCACACACAAGTGATAATATGCGGGACAGCCTTTGTTCTGCTCCTGTTCGCTGACCACAGCATGTATGCATTACACATGGAAGGTGAACATCCCAAAGGCCGTAACATTTCAGATACAAATAATAATGTAATGAGTATCTGTGTATTTGGCTTAAGGTTTGCCAATTCCGTTGTTCTTCCCTAATATCTTCTTTCCTAAGGTCTGTGGTACCATTTGCGTGTATACTTCTACTACATGTGTATGATGTATTCCTGAATAATGCACACTGTTACTTTGCTTGTTAAATTTGAGAGAAATGACGTCCTTCTGTAGTCTACAATTTGCTTTCCCTCTGCATCATGAGGTTTCATCCACTGAGATGCATGTATCTATGGCTCATTCATTTTCACTACTGTGTAAATTTCCATGGGGGAATATATCACTGTCTGTTCTCCTGTTTGGTTATAAAGTTTGCTTTCATTTTTTCTGTTGCAAACAATGCTCCTTTGAATAATTCTGCACATGTATGAGAGTTTCTCTGCATTGGGAATGCAAATAGGTCTTTAGCTGCATTATCTTCTGTTTGCCTTTATTCTTTGTATTCTTTCTTCATTCATTTAATTGGCTGCCTAGTATTCCCATGTATTATTAATAACATATCAAAATTTATATAGCCAGTCACCTAGTGATGGATGGTTGTTGGCAGTTTTTGCTGCAATATATACTCTTTTTGGACATGTGAGAGTATTTCTGTAGGATGAAATCCTGGGTGAAAGTGTTTTTGTTTTTTTTGTTTTTTAAGATTTATTTATTTATTTTAGAGAGCGTGTGGGTGAACGCAGGGGGAAGGAGCAGGGGGAGAGAAAGAGTCTTAAGAGATTCCCCACAGAGCCCAGAGCCGAATACAGGGCTTGATCTCACAACCCTGAGATCACAACCTGAGCCAAAACCAAGAGTTGGTCACTTAACTGACTGTACCACCCAGGTGCCCCCTAGGTGAAAGTGTTTTAAAGAGGCCAGTTATATCATTAGGTAATTATCTTTCTAATTAAATGAGCTCATCAGATGATAGTATATTACCTCACTAAAGTGTTGTAAGTTTCACGGTATTTTTCAGCCCTAAATCCCCTACCTAACTCAGTAATTCAGTAATACTTTTTTGTAGCATATACTTCCTGCCCCAGTCTAGCCCCAACATGGACATACTTTTATGAAATAAAATTATTAATAACTTTTGAATAAAAACATTACTTTGGAAGTTGATACGTTTAATACTTCAAGTCTTCTTGGGGCACCTGGGTGGCTCAGTCAAAGATAGGTCATGATCTCAGGGTTGTGAATTGAGCCTGACATGGGGTTCTGCGCTCAGCATGGAGTCTGCTTGTCCCTCTTCCTCTGCCCCTGCCCCCGCTTGCATGCATGCATTCTCTCTCTAAAATAAATAAATCTTTAAAAAAAATATTACAACTTTTCTCTGGTATGATTTTCAAGTTGAACATACCTTACTAAAAGCCTAATCATTGTTTTGTAAAACTCTAGAATAGACTGCATAATCTGCACATGATAGCCCATGGTCCAGATCTGGCCCACTTCCTGTTGGTTTTTTTCTCCTTCCTGTTTTTGCTTAGAATGTTTAATTTTTTTCATATTTATTTTTAAATGGTTTGCAAAAAAAGAATTATATATTGTGACATGTAAAAATTATAAGAAATTTAAATTTCAGTGTCTGTAAATAAAGCTTTATTGGCATACAGCCATGCTCACTTTAGTTCTGTACCGTCCGTGCGCTTTGATGCTACAAGAGCAGAGATGTTCATGGAGTTGCAGTAGAGATTGAGGTGGTGCTCTCATTGCTTTGGGCACTCGATGGGCTATAAATAGCAGCGGCATGTTTATAATTTGACCGTGTTTCAAGTGCCACACATACCCGCACATCACCATCCTGTGACATTTTTTTAAAAAATGACCAGTGCCTATACAAGTGGACTTTGAATGTCAATGCTTTTTAACACTATGAAAACGTGGAATATTTTACAAAGTCAGATGGCAGATCGTTCTGGTTATTATGCCGCCGTGCAACAGCTGTGCATCATAATGCGAATGCATTACCATCCTCAGCGCTCACAGGATTCCCAGCTCACAGGAAAGCAGAGGTCAGGAAATTAGAATATTTAACATAGAGTATTTCGTGATAGCAGAATTTCTTCACAGAAATAAAATTCAAGTGAGGCTGTAACCAAAGTGTGTGTCAGAGTGACTCCAGTGTTAGCCAAGTAAATAAAACCAATTACCGATAGTGAATTGGAACATCCAAAGATACGTGTGCAGATAAAATAAACTTATTTAAGATCATCAGGCTTTCAGCAACAACCAACAGCTTGAAGAACTGAGGACATTGGGAACCATATCAGTCAAAAAAACAAAGCAAAGACTATTGACTGTGTAAGTGTTAATAATGTGATATGGTATTTATAGCATATTTTAGTTATGTAAACTACATGAAAACAAGAGAACACAAGGCAGAAAGGTGATAACTAAATGTATATCACTGTAAGATTATAATTAATTGGCAAAATAGAATTTTTTGAAGTCAGACTGATTACTTGAAGTACATTATAATATCTAGAATACCAATAAAAATAATATAAAAAAATAAATGGATATGTAAAAAAAAAAGGGGGGTTTGGAAAGAGAAAATAAATTTAAACCATAGAGTGTTTGAAGTTTTCCTCCCTATTGTAATTATAAGAATTATATTTATTTATGTAACAGATATTCACATCTTGTTGGGAAAACAACTCCCTTCACAGAAGGTGAAAAAAATATTGCAAATATTTCATTATGCCAGTTGTTTATTCTTTCTAAAACCCCAACAGTGTCATTTTCCTCAAAATTAATCCTGATTATCACTAAATGTTCTTAGTTGATTCCCAAGTGCTTGACACTCCTTTTTTGTTTTGCTTTGTTTTTTTCCTGGTCTTTGTGCATTGGTGTGTGTGAGGGTTTAGATACACTAATGCATTTTGAACCTTTTTGGATGAGGATATTTGCAAGATCACTGTCAGAAATCCTGCTAGTGCAGAATATCTGAGGATATCTCAGTGCACAAAGTCATTGTAACAAATTATATGTGGGAAACTGGATCTAGACCTGCAGTACAAAGAAAGCCTAAAAAATCTTCTTGCACCAAGGTAACACTGGAATAAAAATAGGCTCAAATCTGTCATTTCCATAAAAAAAGAAGCAAATTATTTCCGCATCTCTTGATGAGTTGATAGAGGTTCCTGGTACTGCCTAGTTGTTATTTGGAGTCAATGCCAAGCTTGAAGTGACTGAAGCATTGGCCTCTGAAAAGTCTGCATCAAACCAGGTACAGGCAAGAATATTTTCCAACAAGTTGAGAAAACAAAAATTGATACAACCTGAAGTGAAATGTGTTATAATGAATGGTGGTGAAGATATCTATGAAGAAGGCTACATGGATACATTTACAAAACTTATGCAAATGTAAGCTTAAGCCAATGGTTATTTATTACTCATCAGGTACTCTACAGGAAACACTTGAATCTGTCATGTATCATTTTATTGAACCAGCAGCATTGGCAGTGAACTTGATTCACTCTCATGGATTCTGCCATGATCAGTTCTGTGAATTTTTGTCGGAAATAGGAACTGAACAGTGTGACTTGCTGGGCCACACTGCAGTTCTGGGGCTTAACAGTGATTAATTTTATTGTGAAAAAAAAAAAATTTTTTTTTAAGCCCAGGAACAAGATTGAAATTTTTTTCCCAGTGAGAACTGCCCTTAACCACTATTATCTCTTTGAAAGTTAGTTTTTGCTGCAGACTTGATAATGTTTAATTCAAACTGAAATTACAGGACAAAATAGCACTTCTCTGCAAACCTTGTATTTCAGCCAAGTCACTGATGACAGTGATGATTTGAACTCCAAGTAATATCAGACTAATCAAGGAGCTTCCACCTAACTTTTGCTTGCAAGTGACTCATTTGCAGTGTAGTGACACATACAAGGCAAATATCAAGGAGAACCTCATGGAATTCCATAAATACCTTCTAAGTGATGAATATGCTCCATTAAAATCATGTGCTTGTGGATTGATGTATTTCACAGTATCTAGGCTGTGTGAAATATTCAAGATAAAATACATAAAATCTCATGGATCCACATGAACAGATGAACATTTACAATCGATTTTTTTTTTTTTTTTTTTTACAATCAGGAGGATCATTTTGAATCCCAGTTGACTGAAATGTTAACCCCCCCACAACCCCAAAAGGAATTCTGTTCTCCTTGGTACACCTGCATTAGCAAAACAAAACAAAACAAACCCCCAAAAAAACAAAAAACAGAAGTACTCCATGGTTGTTCTTATAATTTGAATTTCATCAATAAAGATTTTGTGAAGATTTTTTCTCTCTTTCCATGTATAAGTACCAACCTGGTATCTTCACTTTTCCTCTTGGCACACAAAGCCCAAAATATTTACCGTCTGCCCTTTATAAATAAGAAAAGGGTTGCCAGCTTCTTTGCTTAGAGAAATGTGGCCAAGAACAAACCATTTTTTTCTGTCACTTTTTCAGTAGCATTTTGTTGTGGTTTTAAGAATATTCCTCACAGCAAGAAAAATTGGATATAGCACATGAAACCTTTTTTTAAATTTTTATTTTATTGTTTTGTTAATCACCATACATTACATCATTAGTTTTTGATGTAGTGTTCCATGATTCATTGTTTGCGTATAACACCCAGTGCTCCATTCAATACGTGCCCTCCTTTATACCCATCACCAGGCTAACCCATCCCCCCACCCTCCTCCCCTCTAGAACCCTCAGTTTGTTTCTCAGAGTCCATAGTCTCTCTTGGTTCATCTCCCCCTCTGGTTCCCCCCCTTCATTTTTCCCTTCCTATTATCTTCTTTTTTTAACATACAATGTATTATTTGTTTCAGAGGTACAGGTCTGTGATGCAACAGTCTTACACAATTCACAGCGCTCACCATAGCACATACCCTCCCCAATGTCTATCACCCAGCCACCCCATGCCTCCCACCCCCCCACCACTCCAGCAACCCTGTTTGTTTCCTGAGATTAAGAATTCCTCGTATCAGTGAGATCATACGACACATATCTTTCTCCGATTGACTTATTTCGCTTCGCATAATACCCTCCAGTTCCATCCACGTCGTTGCAAATGGCAAGATTTCATTCCTTTTGATGGCTGCATAATATTCCATTGTATGTATATACCAC